TGTCAGTAAGCTCAGACCTCCGCAGGCCAGGGAGTGGGCTGAGAACACAGCAGCCAGTATTTTGTTTTCTCATCGTAGAAAAGAGAACAGAAGTGCTGACCTGGGGCCATCTGCTCTGATGCCTGCCCTTCTCGAGGGCGCCTTCCGGGAGAACAGACCTCGGGGCATTTGCTGCCCCAAGACTCAGGGAGAATTTTGCTAGAGTCACGTGATCTATCTATCTATCTATCTATCTTTCTCTCTCTTTCTCTGCCACACACACTCATCTCTCTCTCCCTCTCTGCCTGTCTCTCTCCCTCTCTCTCTTTCTGTCTCCTTCTATTCCCCTCCTTCCCTTCATTTCTACTTTCTTTCCTTAAAGATATCAATGACCTTTACTTTGGACAGTTTTTCTCCCATTTCCTACATCCTCCAGAGATTGCTCTCAGGGCTTATAAAGAGTGGTAGCCCAAATTCCTTGACCTAAAGTGGATTTTCTCTGGCTCTCACTAGTCAAATGGAAAACTTGATATAAACTAAATCAGCTCAATTTTGGACACTCAGAGAGTGGTGGACGCAGTCCGGGGGACACGGAAGCACTGGATGATCATGTTGTCATTAAAACACTCTCAGTTCCTTCACTGGACACACACTGGTTTCTGATGCCCAGAAGACATCTGGGCTGAAACCACAGCCTGTGCTTAATGCATGAGTTGAAATTCGTAATCAAGTCCTGGAACAAAAATCAAAGGTTTTCATGGAAGAGGTCACATGTAACAATTAACTACTGAAGCATCCATTTTTTAAAAACTTTTTTTTTAAATCTAGTTTTGAAAAATCTTGTTAGGTTGTTGGGTATTAAGGAAGCTGATCTTTAACACAGGAAGGGAGGAAAAAGAGAACAAGAAAGAAGAAAATGGGGGAAATAGGACAAAGTTTGCATTGTGGTGACCGGGAGGCATCTCCTGCAGGCTTGGCTGTGACACTGTCTTGACCTTCTAGGTTGACCATAGCTCCCCCACTGTGAAGCAAGTAGGTTGGGTGAAGTGATCTCTGAAGGCTCCAGTAATTGTGAGTCTATGCAATTCGATGAGAGGAGAAAATAAGAAATAGGTACCTCAGAATCAAAGGGGTTAAATCATAATTATTATAGATGTATGATTTTATGCTTGAGAATCCATTGAGAAATAATCACAAGAAGACCAATACAGTCCAACCGGGGGGCCAGTGACAAAATTATTGTCGATCATCAGTAGCATTTTCTATGCAAATAGTAGCCAATTATAAAATACAAAGAGAGAAGATTATAACTCAAATAGAAAGAAAAACCATAAAATATCTAGAGATAAAGTCACAAGAAATGTTCTGGATCTAGATGAAGACCTGTATTGAAGGTCTTAAAAAAGTTATGTTGAAGAAAGGCAAAAACTAGTAAGTTGAAACCTTGTTCTTAGAAAGACTCAATTATCCATTTTTTCTTAAATAAAACCTGTCATTTCAATGCAGTGTCAGTTAACAAAGCAATAAAATTATTTTTAACTTGAGTAAGTAGTTGAAAATTTATTTTGTAAGAGTGAATCATTGAGAGTGGCCGTGAATCTTGGCAAGAACTATAAGCGAGGACTTGACTCATTTTTTCTGTTTTTTAATGCCACATTAAAAAAAAAAAATTTATACAGTTGACCCTTGACCCCTGAAAAGAAGCAAATAATTTTTTTTCCTTTTAAGTTTTTATTTAAATTCCAGTTAACATACAATGTAATACTAGTTTCAGGTGTACAATAAAGTGACTCAGCACTTCCATAATCCCCAGTGCTCATCACAAAGGCGTCCCTAATCCCCATCACCTATTTCCCCACCCCCACCCACCTCCCCTCTGGTGACCATCTGTTTGCTCTCTGTAGTTAAGAGTCTGTTTCTTGGTTTGCCTCTCTTTTCACTTTGCTCATTTATTTTGTTTCTGAATTTCCACGAGTGAAATCATATGGTGTTTCTCTTTCTCTGACTGCCTCATTTTGCTTAGCATTATACTCTCTCGTTCCACCTACATCATCACAAATGGCGAGATTTCATTCTTTTCATGGATGGGTAATATTCCATCGTATGGAATGCTGGTTAACATAGTGCAGCACCTAACAGGAAGAGACACACAGGAGAGCAGACAAGTCCACCCCACGACCTGAGCCTTTCTGGGCACTTGATACCTGCCGAAGTTAGGATTTAGGTGCTCTGACTAGTATGCAAAATGCCCCATCTGTTCTCTCCAGGGTGTCCCGAGGTACTGTCACATCAGGGTAGGTCTGGTCATCGTCCGTACCTTCCCATCATATGTGGTTTGGTTTCTCTTCCATGCAAGCCTCCGTGTTCGAAGAGAACAGAGACATGAACTCAAATTCGTGCCTCTTCTCTGAGGCAGCACAGGACTAGAGAGTGGGGGCATCTCTGTGAGCTCGGGAAATTCCCATTTCTGAGTGGAGCACGAAAGAGTCTCCATGTCACTGCTGGGAACTCAGGTCTGTCACAGCTTTTCAGAACAGCTTCCACCTCTGCGCCAAAGAATCGAGGACAGACCTGACCAGGAATACAGACATAATTAGGTAAACACACAGACAAAACCTGTCTTTAAGAAAAACCAAACATGAACGAAGTAAAAAGTAATCATTCAAGAGTAGCCATGAATTCTGGCTACTATATAAGTGGGTACAGGGCAAAAAGGAAGCCAGAAACGGTTTTTGTAACACATGTGATAAAAGATGAATGACCTTAAATATTTATAGAGTTGTCTGAAATCAGTAAGAACAGATGAATGGGAAAATAGAAAACCAAGTGAAGTGTATAGACAGGTAACAAGAGACAAAAATAACATTGTTAAAAAATGCTCAACTTTTTCAGAAATAATTTTAACAAGATATACTAAAGCAAGCAGGAATAATAATAATAATTATTATTATTTTAAGTTTATTTATTTAGAGAGAGAGCACAAGCAGCAAGGGGCAGAGAGAATGGGAGAGAGAGAGAATTCCAAGCAGGATCTATGCAGTCAGCACAGAGCCTGACCTGGGGCTCGAACTCACCAACCATGAGATTATGACCTAGACAAAACCAAGAATCGGACGCTTAACTGACTGAGCCACCAGGTGCCCACAGACAGGAAGGTATTATTATTCACTAATGTGATTTCCAAAGATTGAAAACATTGATAACAACTAGTACCAATAAGAAGATCAAGAGTCCAAAGATATTTTTGCACATTGTCAGTAAGAGGATAAAGTAGTAACAACAGTTTCTGGAGTGGGCACCTGGGCAACACCTATGACACTTGAAATATGCAGGCAGTTGACTGTCCATGTGTAGTCATTTATATAAACGTTGAAAATCCTGTGAATTTCTAAAGATACATGTACAGTCCTCCAAATATGTGAAGCAAATGTATTTGAATAGACATGAAAGAATTTCCAGGATAATATTTACCATGGGGGGAAACCCACCTATATGAAGTATGATTCTATATTTTAAACGTAAAAATTAGTATTTACATCATTTTATTCACAAGGGAAAAGAATAAAAGTACTCTGAATTGTAAATAGCATTTATAATTGAAAGGTAGGGCTATGGGTTGTTTTTTTTTAACCTTCCAGTTTTTTACATTATTATTTGCAATTTTCCAAAGTGTATTTTTTTTAATGTCAGAAAAGTAACTGAAGTGAAAATAAAGAATAAAATTCAAATCCTAGGAATAATTTGGCATATTTCCCCCTATTTTTTAAAGTTTTTAAAAAATCTATTACTTATTTTAAGAGAGAGAGAGAGAGAGAGAGAGAACCAGTGGGGGAGGGGCAGAGAGAGAGGGGGACAGACCATCCCAAGCAGGCTCCATGCCGACAGCAGAGAGCCCAATGCAGGGCTTCGACCCACGAACTGTGAAATCATGACCTGAATCGAAGTCAGACGCCCAACTGACTGAGACACCCAGGCGCCCCTTTCCCCTGTTTCTTCCTTCAACATGGATTCTCCAGAAAGGTTATAGCCAATCTTCTGTAAGGAGCACTGGACCATCCCATCAGCTTGCCTCAATGAACTGTCTTACCTGTGAAGAACTCTCTTCATTCTTCTTTCCTAGCAGCTTGACTGCCGGCCCCTACCACTCACCTGCAGGGGCTATAGTTTCAGTGCTGCCTGGACCCCAGCGTCACTTCATGTGGTCAGATAGCAGTGCCTCTAAAAACAGAACCACCCGACGATCCAGGAATTACACTGCTGGGCATTAATCAAAAATAGAAAAACACTAATTCAAAGGGATACATGCACCCCTATGTTTATAGCAGCACTATTTACATTAGCCAAGATATGGAAGCAGCCCAAGTGTCCATCGAATGGATTTTTAAAGAAGATACGGGGAGTATATATACAATGGAATATTATTCAACCATAAAAAAGAATGAAACCTTGCCATTTGCAGTAACATGGGTGGAACTAGAGTCTGTTATGCTAAGTGAAATAAGTCAGAGAAAGACAAATACCATATGATCTCACTCATAATATAGAATTCAAGAAACAAAACAAACAAGCAAAGGGAAAAAAAGAGAGAGGCAAACCAAGAAAGAGACTCTTAACTCCAGAGAACAAACTGATGGTTACCAGAGAGGAAGTGGGTGGGGGATGGGGGGTATACGGGCTGGGGATTAAGGCTGCACTTGTGATGACCATTGGGTATGGTATGGAATTGCTGGATGAATATATTGTACACCAGAAAATAATCTAGCACACTGTATGTTAACTATACTGGAATTACAATAGAAAACTTAGCAAAAAAGAAAAAAGACAGCACTGCCTCAACCTACATGTGGAGAGAAACACGAGGCAAGCAGTGGGGGCTCAGGGACCAAGAAGGGCCAGAGCCGATGGAGGAGTGGGGCCTCGGCAGAGGGAGTTCATCTCGACGCCAACCCCTGGGCTGCCGTGACTTCCTCTGACACAGAACCTTGGGCTTCTGACCTTGTCCTCCTGGTTTTCACCATCAGGCCTTTGGGACCCTCAGCTCCGTCACCATGAGACTTCTCCAGGTGGTCCTCGCTGCTGTGTTTATCATTTTCCAGGTACTGCCCGGTAAATACCAAGCACGACGCCCGTTCTTATCGTCACTTTGTTGTTTCCCTTCCCTCAGTCAACCACAGTTGAAGAGTAAAGCATCAGGGAGCTACTCAGAGGCCATGTCTACACCCCAAAATAACTTTCTGCAAAGTTTAAGAATTCCTTCTGAGGGAATTCCAAACATCCTGTTAAAAGGGCTGGTTAGGTAGCTGTCTTCTCCTGCCTCCCCTTCCCTGTGGATGAACCGGATGATTGGAAACAGAATCCGCTGGCTCACCTGTTGGTATCACCTGGTGTGGAGACAGAGATCCTTCACACAGGCTCCGCCTGGGGACCGCTTGACCCTCGTGTCATGGTGGTGGCCTTGAGTTTCTTCTGAAGGGCGAGGCTTCCTTCAGATGGTTCCGTGAGGGTGGGGATGGGTGCGGGGTGGCAGGAGGTGGGGGGATCAGTGAGGAGCACCGGGTGGCACAGGTTACCCTCTGGTTAATGCCCAGTTGTCCCCACCTCAGGAAGAACCATCCATCCAGTGGTTGTCACCAACCATGATGTCTCATGGAAAAATGAGAGGGGAAGGCCTTGGAGCTGAACCACTCATTGTAGATGTCCAGCGGGGAAATCGAGGGCTTCCTCCCACCCCCCCAGGTCCCTGGCACGCCCCCCACCCCTGCCCCAGACCTGCGGCTTCATACAAACACCTTTTCGTTTCCAGCTGCCACCAGGGCGTTCAACTTTGAAAGACCCTGTTACCTGCGTGGTGGAATCTGCCTGAAGCAAGGGACCCCAGACTGTGAGCCTTTCCGAGGGCCTTGCCGGGCGTTCACCGTTTGCTGCAAAGTGAAGGGCTTATGGGGGCGGGCAGCAGCCGAGAAGCCCTGACCCCCGGGTCCGAAGCAGGGCGCCCCCGTCTGAATAAAAGCAAACAACGTTCAGGTCTAACTAATCAGTCATCTTATCTTTAGGATTGATTAAAGGAAATCGTTGTTTTTTGGGAAGGGGGTGTCAGGGAGAGGGAGACAATTTAAGAATAAAATTTTTATTATGCTTTACATTTTGCAAAGCCTTTTCTTTCTTTTTAAGTTCTATTTGTTTATTTTAAGGCAGAGAGAGAGGGTAGGAGAGGGGCAGAGAGAGAGGGAGAACATCGATCAGGCTCCCTGTTGCCAGCGCAGAGCCCGATGCGAGGCTCAAACTCTCACAAAGCTGTGAGATCACGACCTGAGTGGAAACCAAGAGTCGGGTGCTTAACCGACTGAGCCACTCAGGGGCCCCACACAGCCTCTTCATTCACAGAACATATGTCATCCTTAGAGTGTTTCAGTTTGTCAGCCCCACTTTGCTGATGTAGAAACCACACTCAGATGAGTTACATAACTGACCCGAGATGACACCATCAGTAAAAAGAACATAATCTAAGATTTTTCTTTTGGATGGTCTACAGTACTCTGTCTGCTTGGAAGGGAAGTTATGGTTTCCTTAACAATTGCAGGGAGGCTGGATGGGAAAGGATCCCCCATCGTGGGGTGAGGCCATACAAGGACAGAGCTTTGTCCTGGGACCTGCCGGTGCAGTGGGCAACCCGCCCAGTGGGAGGACACTGTCTAGGGAGCACAGCGCCCAGCATGTGGTGGTGGTTCATGCAGGTGCTCAGGGAGACCATCCAGAAAGGAGCGTCAGGTGCAGGTCAGAAGGCTCTAGTGTGGATTGCTGTGATTATTCTGTGTCTTCCTTGTTCACTTTTCTTGTTCAGGGCATGACGTCTGCTGTAGTATCCCGCGTAAGTCATCTCTCCACGATAGGTGTCACTGTCTTGCCTCTGCAGAGTGGCTTTCTACAATGTACAAAGCAAACCTGGAGGTGGGGGCGTGGGGAGAGGAGGCAGGAAGTAGTTCGAGGTGCCCAGGAGGCTGGAGGACAAAGAGGAGAGGTAAGTTTTACTAGCGTTCTTCCAAAACCGGAAGAGTCACATGGGAAAGAAAAGAGTGTGCCTGGAGCTATGGTCAGTAACAGTGTGGACCATCTACATGACTGGGTCCCTGTCACTGAACAACTAAAGAAAATTCAGTGCAAGTGTGTACATGAACAATAGACTATTATCAGCTGTAAATGAGCGTCTGCAAAGCTATTCGGATCCAGGTACAAATGTTAGCCTGCTGGGTGTTCTCAGTGGGCACTGGCTTCCCACACAGTCTGCGTACAGGGCTCATAGGACTTGGACATTCCTGGTGTCTGTGACATCAGTCCACAGTGTGCCCCATCAGAATGGTTCTGGGTCCAGTAGTCAAATGGTCTCCCACACCAGGAGAATTTAGGAACCGACTTGTACCCCAATGTTTATAGCAGCACTCTCAACAATAGCCAAATTATGGAAAGAGCCTAAATGTCCATCAACTATGAATGGATAAAGAAATTGTGGTTTATATACACAATAGAGTACTACGTGGCAATGAGAAAGAATGAAATATGGCCCTTGGTAGCAATGTGGATGGAACTGGAGAGTGTGATGCTAAGTGAAACAAGCCATACAGAGAAAGACAGATACCATATGTTTTCACTCTTATGTGGATCCTGAGAAACTTAACAGAAACCCATGGGGGAGGGGAAGGGAAAAAAAAGAGGTTAGAGTGGGAGAGAGCCAAAGCATAAGAGACTCTTAAAAACTGAGAACAAATTGAGGGTTGATGGGGGGTGGGAGGGAGGGGAGGGTGGGTGATGGGTATTGAGGAGGACACCTTTTGGGATGAACACTGGGTGTTGTATGGAAACCAATTTGACAATAAATTTCATATAGTAAAAAAATAAATAAATACATAACTCATCTCCTTATTTGTATTTCTTCACCACGAGGTGCAAACCCTCTTTGCTTTCCAGTCTCTCTCTCCCACCATTCACGGGCCCACCGACATCCCTGTCTTACACATTGTCTGGAAAACCCCAGCACGGCCCTGTGCCTCTACTCCATGCTTTTCCATGTCTTTTGCTCTTGGTTCAAGCACGGAGGACTGGCTTGGTAACAGAGGAACTAGAACCCTGGAGGGGAGGGCAGGGGAGGGGAGGGGAGGGGAGGGGACGGAAGGACCCCCAATGGGGCATGTGGAACTCTTTGTCATGGGGGAAGAGAAAGAAGAGGCAGGAACACCCAACCTGAGTTCTGTTTGTGTTGTTGCATCTCCGACTATCCCTTTCATGGTAAACCGTCTGGTTCTGACTTGGCCACCAGAATTGCTGGACTACTTGGACAAAATTCACCCATTATGTCAACTTTCATTCATTCATTTTCCTTAACTCGTATTTATTAAGCAGTAAACCAAACAAAAAACATTCCTACCTTCGTGGTGCTTATATTCTTTTTTTTTTTTTTTTAATTTTTTTTTTCAACGTTTTTTTTTTTTTGGGACAGAGAGAGACAGAGCATGAACGGGGGAGGGGCAGAGAGAGAGGGAGACACAGAATCGGAAACAGGCTCCAGGCTCTGAGCCATCAGCCCAGAGCCTGACGCGGGGCTCGAACTCACGGACCGCGAGATCGTGACCTGGCTGAAGTCGGACGCTTAACCGACTGCGCCACCCAGGTGCCCCCGTGGTGCTTATATTCTAACAGGGGAGATGGAAATAAAAACATGTGATACTTTAAATATTTATAAGTGCAAAATTTGAAAAAAAAAATCAGGAAAAGGATATGAAGTCCTGGGTATGTGGGAGGGTGTGCAGGGAAGGCCCCACAGGCAAGTTCATGAGTGGCAAAACAGTCTTTCTGGATCTGACTGTCTGGTGTGCAGTTTAGTTGGTTATTCCAAGTCTGAGTTTGTGCTCACTCTTGGGAAATCCCTAGAAATTGTTAGGCCTTGTAATTTTTTTCCTGGGGGCATGGGCAGAAGGAGAGAGAGAACCTTAGGTAGACTCCGTCCAGCACGGAGCCAGATGCAGAGCTCAATCTCACCTGAGATCATGTTTTTAATCTCATCATCTCATCTCATCTCATCTCATCTCATCTCATCTCATCTCATCTCATCATCTTACCCATCAATGCCCTTAGCCACTCAGAAGGATCTACAATAAATTTTTCAACACATCAAAGATGATACAGGTGCTACCTCAACAACATCATGCTTTTGGGGCAGACATCTATGTGGAAATACTGGCTTGCTCTTACTCTGGGACACAGACTCAACAATCTATGCCATGCGCTCTAGAATTACAGTAAGAAACTCTTGGAGGAGATAAAGCCATCATTAGTTTTCTGGCCTTCTGGTTCACAGTTATCCACCACTTAAATTATGCTAAGCTAACCTGTGCATTTAGTTGACTCCGCTTAACAATACTAGAAATAAGAGTACATGCAAATAAATTTCTTCCTCAAAGAATGGAAGTTGCTAGTAATTGGGAGACTGAACAGGTAGGACACAGAGAAATATTTATAGGAACCTACCTCTTACCACAGAGATGCTCCAGTTATGTCCCAGGAAACACTCAGGGAAACATTTGCCCCATTTCTACCATGATCAGAGGGATATGGTTAGCAGCATCTAGGCCAGACTGACTTTTTTTTTTTTTTAAGATTTTATTTTTAAGTAATCTGAACATCCAATGTGGAGCTCAAAGTCACAACCCCTAGATCAAGAGTCACATGCTCTACCAACTGAGCCAGCCAGGCACCCCAAGATTGACATTCTTAATACGTTTCCTGTCTACCCTAGAGACCACAAATATTACAACAACAGACCGTATTAACTATTATTTTGATTCCAAAGATTCCTCCACATTTGCTTTGTCCTCGTCTGTTTTCTCTACGGTTACGTGGCTCTTGAATTCGTGTTCTCAAGATAGATGGTCAGACAATATGAGGGATCAGCTTCTGGGAGAAATGGGGCCAACAGTAGAGTTTTCCAGAGGTGCCAGGTATGAGTGGGGTCCTTAGTCTCCTGCAGAACCCATTGATATCTGGCAAAAACTAATTAGAGGAAAAGGGTTACAGATTCACTGTCACAGGTCAGATTTTAAAGAGTGTCATCAATCATACGTCTATTACATATTTTGTATTTGGTATGTGTCTTAGTTCATTTGGGCTGCTATAAGAATACCATAGACCAAGTGGCTTGTAACCAACAGTGTATGTATTTATTTCTTACCATTCTAGAGGCTGGAAGGCCAAGATCAAGATGCTGGCAGATTCCATGGGCAAGGGGCCACGTCCTGTTCACAGATGGTTGTCTTTTTGCTGTATCCTCACATGGTGGTAGGGACAAGGGAGTTCTCTGGGGTCTCTTCTGTAGACACCTGATCACCTCCCAGAGGCCACCCAAATACCATCACCCTGGGGCTTCAGCTTTAACATACGAATTTTAGGGGGACATATTCAGTATGACTCTAAAAACCCTAACATATTTAGTCCTCTGAAATTTTAGGAATTGCAATAATAAATATTAAGACTTTTGATTTTTTTGTTATATAAGCTATGCATACTTTTTCTCTATGAAACGCTGAAAAATCTAAAAATACATACAAAAAAGTTATAATCTGTTTTCATGCTCCACTTAGTTTATCAAATAGTTTTCCTTCAAATGAATAGTTAATCAACTCTGCATGATTTATCCACCGCCCTCTGTCACCATTCACATGAAAGCCACCTTTATTGTGAACTGAATGTCAGTGTCTGCATGGTGGCTTCTCTGTTTGGATGTCTGGGTTGTTTTGTTTTGTTTTGTTTTGTTTTGTTTTTCTGTTTGGGGCCTATGCTTCATATTTCAAGCTTCACCATTATTTATTTATTTATTTATTTATTTATTTATTTATTTTTATTTTTTAAGTTTATTGATTTGTTTTGAGAGAGAGTAAGTGCAAATGGGGAAGGCACAGAGAGAGAGAGAGAGAGAGAGCACATCCCAAGTAGGCTGCATACTGTGAGCATAGAGCCTGACGAGGGGCTAGATCTCACAACAGTGAGGTCATGACCTGAACCAAAATCAAGGGTCGGACACTCAACCAACTGAGCCACCCAGGTGCCCCCAAGCTTCAGTGTCATTATAAACAATAATAACTGGTAGTGGAAGTCACCATTGTTACTCTTTATAAAAATATCCTTATTTATTCTTGCACATTTCCCCTATACAATGAATTTTTTACATGGGCTGGGTTAAGATCATAAACATCTTTAAGTCCTAATTTCTAAATGATCACTAGTCTATGGAAAGTTACTATTAGCCAATTTATTATCCTTTTAAACTGTATAATTTTTACTGGATTCTAAGAGCCAGTCCTTATGTAAAGAGACTAGTGGACTATCCTGCAGTGGTAAAGAACTCAGAATCTGGAACCAGACTTCTGACTCTCATTTCGATTTCACCACATACAAACTTTATCACTATATACCAAGTATCTCTAAGTATCCTCATGTGTACTTTTAGGGATCATATTAGTACCTGCACAAAGTAAGGCCACTTTGCTTCTGGCTTCAGGAAGACAATAATAATCCCCTTCATTATGGTCTTACTGATTGGTTTTACTCGATTACATAAATGTAAGATATCAACTATGATCCAGGGAGAAGAGGGGAAGATACGAAAATCTGCCACTTCTGAGGACATTCATTGTAGACAACGGTTCATTCAGAATCAGCAGATCATTGTTTTTTGAGGAACCCAAGATCTTCTGGGTGAAGAAAAACTGAAATGTCATTGTCATGCCCTGCTCCCCGAGATTCTGAGTCAGTGTCAGCTGAGCCAAACCCCAGGAACAGAGAAGATAAACAGCAGGTTAAATAAAATTTGAGAGGTTGGTTACACTAAATCCCCTGCTTCAAGGCAAGGGCCTAATTTGGGAAGAGACCTTGTTTTTCTTTGGTCTGTGGCTAAGAAGGAAAGCCCTTGGCTTTCCCCTACACTGGGACTATGTTTCCTTGCTAGTACAAGAGCCAAGAGCACGAGGTTTTCTCAGTCATGAGACATGACTGTGGCGGGGTCGGGGACCTGAATCAGCAGGGTAATCACTGGGACAGAAGACTTTCACTGGTCAGAGTAGACAGGACCAGTCCTTATTAAGAACACAGGACATGGCTGAGCGGAGCCTAGATTTCAGCTCTTTGGAGAACAGAGGGACCACCTCTCCAGGGAGAACAGAGTCTGGCGACGTAGGTGATGGTTTTCATTCTACTGAGCACTTGAGAGATTAGTGGAAGAATATAAGGACTTTGTGTGACTGTATTTGTACTCGGAGCTGAAGGAGCAGATTATACTGGTTCCATGAGAATAATTGGAGAAGAAAAATTCTACAAACCACCCCAGGTTTTTCATAGAGTAAATTCTCCATCGATCCTAGCCGTTTTGATTTTATGACCACTACCATGCCTGTTCTTCCTCAGGCCTTGATTCATCAAGCGCTCACAAAAGAATTTCCCCCAGCTCTGCACCGAACATTGGTAATCATTACCCTTGTTTATTTCACAGGCGTTCATTGTCCAGTGAGTGGACATTGTCAGTGCTCTGATCACAATGGACATTCTCTTCCGTGTTTAGTCACCCCGATCAGACTTATAAATGAGGAGACTTTAAACTACTTTTTATGCAACCTTATGACACCTGCCATTTGTCTTTTCCTTTCCAGGAGCTTCTGAGGAGGCCTCCACTGACTCGGCGCTATGAGACTATTTTCTCTTCTCATCTTCGTCGTCGTCTTCATCTCGCAAGTAGCTCCAGGTAAACCCTCTTCGGCATCTCCTTAAACTGTGACCTGCTCTCTTGTCCAATCTGATGTCATTCATACAAATAGGCTCCCCTTTCTTGAAGCCTCCACCCGCTGAGGTGTGTTTGAACTAGAATTCACCATCCTCATTCTCTGGGTATTGCGTTTAGTGACTGCCTGTGAGGGCTGGCAAAGAGGACCCTTAGAGGTTTTCTAGAAGGAGGCAATTCATGTATTTAGAACCATGGCATTTTGGAAGAAACTTGAAGTGTATTTTGCTCCACACCTTGAGCAAGTGGTGGTAAGAATAAAGAGAGAGGGGGAGAGGGGCACCTCACTTCCTGCCTGGTGTTCATTCCTGACACCACAGAAGTGCTGAGTATCACTGAACAGCTCAGGTGCTTTACAGAGTACTACAGCTACTTGGATTTGGTGGGGGCGGGGGGAGAAGATTGGCCTATGTGGGTGAGCATCATGAGGGTTTGGCTGGTCACTGAGGGTTTGAACTTGCTTCCCCCAGAAAGACAGCCACGTGGTGCTTTGTGCCCCCCCCCCCCAAATCCTCTGTCACTACTTTTCTCCTCCTCCAATATTCTATCTTTATATAAATAAATCCACCCAAATATCCCATGTCTGTGTCTTACTGCTCGGGGCTTCTGTGCCTTTCAGAGCACCAGGGGACAGGAACTGGGGAGGGCTGTGTGGCCCCAGCCACTGCCCTCCTTTTGTTTGCTTTGGGTCAACAAAGTCTGTTGACTGTGGACCCACTGGGCATGACGACTGATTTCAGTGCATCACTCAGAGTAGTGACCCAACCTCCGTTTCCTCAATGGGCTGGTTTTTTTTTTTTTTAAGTGTGTTTATTTTGAGACAGAGAGAGACAGAGACAGAGTGAGTAGGAGAGGGGCAGAGAGAGGGAGAGACAGAATCCCAAGCAGGGCTCTGATGGCACAGAGCCCAACGTGGGGCTCAAACCCATAAACTGTGAGATCATGACCTGAGCTGAGATCACGAATCCAATGCTTAAACAACTGAGCCACCCAGACGCCCATAATCAGAGAAGAGAAAAAATACATTATGGTGGGCTGTGAGGGAATGTCTTTGGGGGGAGAATGAGGAGAGAATTACAGGACTTCTAACAGCATGACTCTTGGTTACAGCACTAGGGTAAAGAGATACAACTGTTTCCAGGGATGGGTGGCCTCAACGTCAGAGCTGCTGTGGTGGCAGCTGCTCTGATGAAGACAGGATGGGCAGGGGGCCTTTCGTGATAGCCTCGACCGTGTGGCATGAAGTCAGGGTGCAAGAACCCATGATAAGCAGGTTTAGGAAAGCTCTCTGCCGACAGCTCAGTTCTAACTACTGAGTAGAAGGGGACAGGTTGAAGAAAGTAGAAATAGGGCTGAGACCCACAAATGGGGAGAAATCAGGGAGAGAACTTACCACCCACCATCGAGTTTTTCCACAAAGGGTGTGCATGGCCCTGTCACTAGGCCCCATGACATCTGTAGCCTGGGTTCCAAAGTTGCTGACTTCTGCTAGTGACCCATGCTGGGCAGGCTGGACTATAGGGATCATGGGGGCCCTTCTTTCTCAGGGCTGAGTGAAAGCTTTCTCTCTCTCATCTTTTAAGAGGCAGGACAAGAAGACTTCTTCAGGCCTGGCTTTGAGTCAGGGAGGATTTTTTTGTTCCTCTTCTGGAAACCTCTTACCTTAGCCAGTGCCCCCTGATTATTCTGGGTCCTTTCTTATAGGGACTTGAATTTTTAAATCTTTAATTTTAGTTTTAAGACATATCTGATAAAACCTGAACACAGGGATTCGAAGCCTGGGAATTGTGGGTGCACTTGAGGGCTCGTCACGTTCCTTAAACACCTTGGAGCATACTGTGTGAGTACATTTTTATATTTGACCAAAGACGTATGTAGATCTTCCTTCTTCAGACTAGGGACTGTAGGATTATCTTATTCTCAGTGAAATCCTGTCCTAGGAAGACAAAAACCAAAGTTTTTGGGGCGCCTGGGCAGCTCAGTCGGTTGCACGTCTGACCTCGGCTCAGGTCATGACCTCCCGGTTCATGAGTTCCAGCCCCACATCGGGGTCTGTGCTGTCAGCGCAGAGCCTGCTTTGGATCCTCTGTTCCCCATCTCTCTCTGCCCTTCCCCGACTTGTGCTCTCTCGAAAATCAAACACTGAAAAAAAATCTTTCGAAAAACCCAAGTATCGAGGTACCGCTTCCAAAGGACATTAGCAATCCCATAACAGACCTCTGGGGGGCACCCTTGCTGCTCTGTGGTAATGTCACCCCAGGAGGAGTATTTGAAGTCTTTTATCTCAGCCTCCAAATTACATCGCAAAATTTCTGTTCTTAACAAGCTCTTACAGACTGACATTGTCCTCCTGTGTAACAAGCAAGCCAGAGCCACGAGGCAGACAAGAGACGGTGCAGATGACGATATACATTCTTTAGCAATAAAGTCTGGGGGTCCCTAGGGAAGGCTGAATGACTTCTTCCCCTGCATGGGGGGCTTGAGTCTTTCTTCCAAGAATAAGTCATTTCTGCTTTTTCTACAGGCTATAGGCATGGTGAGATGTCTCGTTTCTGTGACTCACATACAAGCGTATGCCTGAGGAGGAAAAGAAACTGTATTTTTCGTATGCCAGGGCTCTGCCCTGGAAGGAGCTTCTGTTGTTTAAGAATGAAGTGAATGGAAGGATTCGTGTTTAATGAATCTACCCTGAATTAAGTGACCTGAAGAATTCACGCTGCATGTATCTACCCAGGATTAAACTGAAGGCTGAGGCTTTATGATGCCATTTTCTTCATTCGTGGATTCCTTTATTTTGTTAGTATTTCTCAGCACCTACTCTGTACTGGGAAAGGGACTGGTGTACTGGGGCCTGGGGGTGTGGATTCAAGGCATGTTCTGCTAAGAAAACTCACAGACGTGGAAATCATAGCCGAGTTGGGTGGTTCAAAGATGTCTTCCCAGTGAATGCCATATATGAGCTGGGTCTTAAAAAAATGGGGTAAGAATCAGTGAGGGGAAGTTGAAGGAGAAGTGGTGTGGGTTCCAATGTGCACAGAGCAAGATACTCAAGGTCACTATAGTACAAACATGCCTGGAGTTATATTAGGAGGTGGTTTGAGAGCCAGAATGTGAGGAAATGAAGCTAGAGAATGTACAGCCAATGGATAGAGGGCTTTAGACCCTGAAGAAATTTTATCTTCGAAGCTTTAGGGAAACGTCAAAAAATGTTAAGTGGAGGTGGGGAAGAGGGACTGACTCACACCAATATGGTCCTATGGCTATTTGTTTTATGTTTGGGTTATAATTCAACACTTCATTTTTTTTTTTTTATGAAGTTGTTTCAGGTTGGCCACCGGGAGCTCTTTCAGGTCTCCCTTGGGTACTCGCCATGTTCGTGCACACGGGAGCAGTAGGAGGGGTGCAGAGAGAGAGAGAGGGAGAGAGAATCCCAAGCAGATTCCTTGCTGTCAGCACAGAGCCTGACTCGGGGCTTGAACATGAGATCATGGCCTGAGCCAAAATCAAGAGTCCGACGCCTAACTAACTGAGCCACCCAGGTGCCCCTAAAATTTATATATAATAAAAATCAAACTTTGTGGTGTAACATTCTAAGGGATTTTCAAATGCAGAGTCAAGTATCCACTACCTTATGTCTATAGGGAACAGTCTGTCACCCCCAACTCCCTCATACTACCTGATTGTCATCCCCCCTGTAACATCTAACCCTTGGCCACTGCAGATCTGGCTTCTCACCCTATAGTTTTGCTGCTCAAGAGTGCTATATAGATGGAATAAAATAACCTATAGTCTTTCTATCTGGCTTCTCTAACTCAGTAGAAGACCTCATGAATGAGGTTCATTCATGTTTTTGCAGGAATCAATCATGTGTTCCCTTCTATTGCTGCATAGTATTCCATTCTGTGATGAACTGCAGTTAATCCACTAGTTGAAGGACATCTGTGTTGTTTCCCATTTTTGGCAAACATAAATTAAGCTGCTATCAACATTTGCATATAGGATTTTAGTAAGAACATACATTTCCATTTCTGCTGGGTAAATACCCAGGAGTGGGATTGAGGAGTGGTATGGCCAGGGTACGTTCAACTTTACAAGAAACCACCAAATGAACTTCCAAAGTAGACTTACAACTCTGTGTCCCCAGCAGCAGTGTCAGAAACTTTGATTTGCTACCAAAAGAAAGTTACTAAGAGAACAAATGACAAATTGTATTCTGTTTTAAAACAGGAGATAGTGACTACTGACGGTGGTATGTCCCCTTCCAATCAGCAGAATTCTGCTACACATTCCAAATCTTCTCTGTGCAGAAAACCATTCCTTGGGTTCTAAGAAAATGAGTCTAAAGGAATCCCACTACTGTATTTGGAAAGGCATCTTTGGAGAGAAGAAAATAATCACTACCTTGCTAAGTCTTGGTTCTCTGTGAAACCATGGGTTGGTTTCTGTAATCTCTGGGTTCCAATTCCATGGCTTGATGCCTGGGTACCAACTTTGATCTTTCTTCACCTTTAGACCTTCTGATTAATTTATATCCTTGGCTCTTCAATAACTAACGGGAGCCATTCCTTTGTACCCAAGAGTCCTTAAGGGGTATGAAAATGAGAACAAAACCTCAGCGACTTTTCCTATATATCATCAATACATACACCTATGCACGAGCACACATGCACACGCACACACACACATGCCCCTCAAGCTCTTACTCTCAATCCATCGATGAATAGACGTACATGCACAGATTATAGGTGGCTTGTAGAACCATTTGAATAGTGACAGGTGCAGAAGCTGAGACACAGAAAAGGAAAGGCCTTGTCCAAAGTCAGTGAGGTAACGAGTGGTGGGGACCAAGTTTAGAACTTAAATCCCATAAACCCCTCCCCTCCACCAGTTCAATGACCCGCCACTTAAGCGTGCCTTGCAGAGAGCCGACACAGGGCCCGCGTGAGTGCAGGTGCTTTTATTCAGCAAAAGTCATTGGTGGTGAGTCCGTTGTGCAGCTCCGAAGACCTTCCGGGCCGCAGCTAGATTCTACAGCAGTGTTTGTTCCGGCTTTTGCATTCTGCAGGCAGGATGGAACATCCGTGGGTTTTCTGGTGCTTGCAGACACCACCCAGTTTTTTACATTCAAGGGATTTCCCCCTTTTTTCATGCCCTATAACGGAAGGAGAGGTGAGAAGAAACAAAACAGGAAAGCATGTTTAACCAAAGCTACAGGAAGCCATCTTGTATAGCAAGATCTGCAGCCTACAGTCTGTAGGGACAAAACTGGCCTCTACCTGCTTTAGCGTGACCTATCAGCCTATCGTTGGTTTTGCGCTTTTTTTTTTTTTTGAACTGTAGACAAAACTTCAGAAGAAGAAAACTACTTCACGATATATGAAAATTATATGAAACTCAAATTCTAGTGTCCATAAATAGGAAGACATTCACACCTGTTCATTTAGATATTGTCTATGGTTGCTTTTTGTGGCAGAGATGAGTTGTCATGACAGACCTCATGGCCCAGAAGCCTAAAAGATTTATTTATTACATGGTCCTTTACCAAATAACGCTTATTGACTTCTGCACTATAGTGTCTTTCTTTTTCAGATGAAGGAACTTCAGATCAGGGAGAGCAAGTGACTTGGCCGTGCTCTGAGATTAGGGATATACTCTACATGTTCTTCATGAAAGCTTCCTAAGGAGCTGTCCTCTTTTTCAAAAGGGCAAAATCTTACAAGCACATAGCACCAAATAGACAAAAAGCTTTGGACAGAAAGTGAGCATCCTCAGTGCTGAATATTCTGCCTCCCATCTCCCATGCAATGAGGGTCATTTCGTGCACTGTGACATTTTAAACGGCGCCGCCATGGCACGCAGTGAGCACCTGCCTTCTCGGGCTCCTGTGAGTTAAGCTGCAAAAAAAATGATAGGCCATCAAGTTGGTTGACTATGGCAATTCAGGAAGCAACTTGAGAGTAGCGAGAACTCGAATGATGCCTAAAGTCAAGGGAACAAGAAAGAGAATGACAAGCAGGAAGCTATGAGGAAGAAGAATTTCCATCAGGGGTGATGGCTTTGAAAAGCGCCATGCTGTGATGGAAGGCATACTGGGTCCAGAATTAGGAGACCTCGCTTCTGGTTCTTGTACCCCCAGGTCCATAGTTTTCCTTTGGGAGGCATAGATTCTCCTAGTTTTTCATAAGAAGGCAAGGTAAAAAAAAAAAAAAAAAACATATATATATATATATATATACACACACACATAACATATATATGTAATTTATAAATTGTACATGTAACACCTACACTTATAAATAAATATGAATAAATGTATGTGAATATGTTGTGTTCATATATATTTATAATTAATATCACTTATATAAATACAAATGTATATTCATATCTACATCTGTATATATATCTACATCCAACTGTTTATCTCCATTAGGCTGTTCACCAAACAGGTCTGTCTGTCTATTTTCTTGACCCAAAGTAGGATTTATCTTTTGTGTGATGGGGCGGCGCCAGAAAACTTGCTCAGTTAATAAATTTTAATCAGAAGTGATGTGTCCTGTTAGGGCTGGAGCCTTTCATTGACAACGTCAGATTCCTCAGAGCTCTTTTCTTTGACCCAGCAACCAGCAATATCCATGGTGGTGGCTGCTCCCTCAGGTCTGAGCAGCGACAGTGAACAGAGCACCCCTGCGGCCAGGATGGGCTTGTATCATTTGAGTAAGAATTGAACCATGACTCTTCAGATGCCATGATTCAGACCACAGCATAATGCAGCACGTGCTGACATATGCACTGGGGTGCCAGGTAAGATGTAGGGCATCCAGTCAACTTTGAAATAACATACATAAGTATATTCCAAATATTGCATGGGACACACTCAAAGTAAAAAGTATTTGATGTTTATGTATAATGCAGTAAGTAAATGTATTCCCTGGGATTGTTGAATATTTAATGAAAACATTGTCTGGAACCAAACCCTCACGAGCTTGAGTCAAAGGCTCCACTACATACAATCTGAATGACTTTGAGCAAGTTACTTCATTTCTTAATCTCGTTTGCAAGACAGGGAATACCTACCCAGAAATAGTGTTAGGAGGTACACGTGGGACAGGACATGAAAAGTTTTTGTTGTGATGTTTGGTAAAGAGGAAGCGTCAATATTATCTGCTATTATTATTAGTGTTGTTGTTATTCACATGGAAATAATTTGTAAGCTGTAAAGTCCCTGTAAATATTATCTATCGTCAATTACTAGTTATGGGCTTGCTATCAACCAGTTAAGAGCAATCTTGGGAAACTCTTTTAAGTTTTCTTAAATTTCCCTTTTCGTTATTCATAAAAGGGAGTGTGTGGTATATGTATGCTTCTTTCAGCTGTGAAATTACTCCGTTGTTACAGACTTCGATGCATCATTGGATTATGAATCAATTTGGTCCTTTTCTTCAAGGCCATCTGTCATATCATCCTACCAACAGGAGCCACAGCTTACCTGATGTCGTCTGGATAAGACACACAAGGAGGAGAAAGAGAAGGAACAGTAGCCTCATGATGGGAAATTAACTCTTGGGATTCTAAGAGGAACTCGCAAAGTCTGACGGTGTCTCTTCGGTGCACATCAGTGGGGGCTGGTGACCTGGGGAAAGAGTAGAAAGCTCAGCTAGAGAGAAAAAGCTTCTATTCCTAGTAAACATGTCCCATTAAGGCCTGGGTGTGACTTGAGAATGTTTCATCCATGGACACATGGTTACGGATCCACTTCCTCCTGGTAAAAAGCAAGACCTTTACAAAAAGTCAACATTTTCTAGTTGATTTCCATTTCTGCTTAGGACTCTGAGGTTTGGTGCCTTTTTTTTTTCTTTAGAACAAAACCACTAAAACACGGATTTTTTTTTTTAGCAAATCATCTATCTACTCATTCACCTTTATTGCAGGTCTCTTACACCTGTCAGTTTTCCTTTAGGAATACAAAGAGAGGTTCCCTTTTTAGAAGTTAAAAAAGGAGAAGGAATTGTAAATGGAAATGATCATCTCTGCTTTCTTACTCCAAATAATTTCTTTTTCTGCTACCCATTTAAAAGATAGAGTTGATCCCTTCTAGCCAGGCAAGCTCTTACAATGCCAAGTTCTTGCATAGATCAAATGAGATGAGACTTTAGGGGCCAAAGTATTTCTTTTTAAATTTTTTTTAATGTTTATTTATTATTGAGAGAGAGACAGAGCAAAAGCATGGGAGGGGCAGAAAGAGGGGGAGACACAGAATCCAAAGGAGGTTCCAATAGTTGAGCTGTCAGCACAGAGCCCGACGTGGGGCTCGAACTCACAAACTGCGAGATCATGACCTGAGCCGAAGTCGGACGATTAACCGACTGAGCCACCCAGGTGCCCCCAAAGTATTTCTCCTTCTTTTTTTAAATTTAATTTTAATTTTACATCCAAATTAGTTAGCACGTAGTGAAACAATGATTTCAGGAGTAGATTCCTTAATGCCTCTTACCCATTTAGCCCATCCCTGCTCCCACAACCCCTCCAGCAACCCTCAGTTTGTTCTCCATATTTATGAGTCTCTTCTGTTTTGTCCCCCTCCCTGTTTTTATATTATTTTTGCTTCCCTTCCCTTATGTTCATCTGTTTTGTCTCTTAAAGTCCTCATATGAGTGAAGTCGTATGATTTTTGCCTTTCTCTGACTAATTTCACTTAGCATAATACCCTCCAGTTCCATCCATGTAGTTGCAAATGGCAAGATTTCATTGTTTTTGATTGTCAAGTAATACTCCATTGTATATATATCTACCACATCTTCTTTATCCATTCATCAATCGATGGACATTTGGGCTCTTTCCATACTTTAGCTATTGTTGATAGTGCTGCTATAAACATGGGGGTGCATGTGTCCCTTCGAAACAGCACACCTGTATCTCGTGGGTAAATGCCTAGTGGTGCAATTGCTGGGTTGTAGCATAGTTCTAGTTTTAGTTTTCTGAGGAACTTCCATAGTGTTTTCCAGAGTGGCTGCACCAGCTTGCATTGCCACCAACAATGCAAAAGAGATCCTCTTTCTCCGCATCCTCGCCAACATGTGTTGTTGCCTGAGTTGTTGATGTTAGCCATTCTGACAGGTGTGAGGTGGTATCTCCCAGTGGTTTTGATTTGTATTTCCCTGATGATGAGTGATGTTGAGCATTTTTTCATGTGTCAGTTGGCCACCGGGATGTCTTCCTTGGAGAAGTGTCTATTCATGTCTTTCGCCCATTTCTTCACTGGATTATTTGTCTTTTGGGTGTTGAGTTTAATAAGTTCTTTATAGATTTTGGATACTAACCCTTGATCTGATATGTCATTTGCAAATATCTTCTCCCATTCTGTCAGTTGCCTTTTAGTTTTGCTGATTGTTTCCTTCCTGCACAGAAGCTTTTTATTTTGATGAGGTCCCAGTAGTTCATTTTTGCTTTTGTTTCCCTTGCCTCCAGAGACGTGAATAAGAAGTTGCTGTGGCCAAGATCAAAGAGGTTTTTGCCTGCTTTCTCCTTGAGGATTTTGATGGCTTCCTGTCTTACATTGAGGTCTTTCATCCATTTTGAGTTTATTTTTGTGTATGGTGTCAGAAAGTGGTCCAGGTTCATTCTTTTGCCTATCGCTGTCCAGTGTTCCCAGCACCGCTTGTTGAAGAGACTGTCTATTCCATTGGATATTCTTCCCTGCTTTGTCAAAGATTAGTTGGCCATATACTTGTGGGTCCATTTCTGGGTACTCTATTCTGTTCCATTGATCTGAGTGTCTGTTCTTCTGTCAGGACCATACTGTCTGGATGATTACAGCTTTGTAGTATAGCTTGAAGTCTGGGATTGTGATGCCTCCTGCTTTGGTTTTCTTTTTCAAGATTGCTTTGGCTATTCAGGGTCTTTTCTGGTTCCATACCAATTTTAGGATTATTTGTTCTAGCTCTGTGAAGAATGCTGGTGTTACTTTGATAGGGATTGCATTGAATATGTAGATTGCTTTGGGTAGTGTCAACGTTTTAACAATATTTGTTCTTCCTATCTGGAGCATGGAATCTTTTTCCATTTTTTTTTTTTTGTGTCTTCTTCAATTTCTTTCATAAGCTTTCTACACTTTTCAGTGTACAGATTTTTCACCTCTTTAGTTAGATGTATTCCTAGGTATTCTATGGTTTTTTGTGCAACTGTAAATGGGATCGATTCCTTGATTTCTCTTTCTGTCACTTCATTGTTGGCGTATAGGAATGCAACCAATTTCTGTGCATTGATTTTCTATCCTGAAACTTTGCTTAATTCATGAATCAATTCTAGCAGTTTGTTTGGTGGAATCTTTTGGGTTTTCTATATAGAGCGTCATGTCATGTGCAAAGAGTGAACATTTGACCTCCTCCTGGCTGATTTGGATGCCTTTTATTTCTTGTGTTGTCTGATTGCAGAGGCTAAGCCTTCCAATACTATGTTGAATAACAGTGGTGACAGTGGACATCCCTGTCTTGTTCCTGTCCTTACAGGGAAAGCTGTCAGTTTTTCCCCATTGAGGAGGATATTAGTGTTGGGTCGTTCCTATATGGCTTTTATGATCTCGAGGTATGCTCCTTCTATCCCTACTTTCTTGAGGGTTTTTATCAAGAAAAGATGTTGTATTTTGTCAAATGCTTTCCCTGCATCGATTGAGAGGATCCTGTGGTTCTTGTCCTTTCTTTTATTGATGTGATGAATCACGTTGATTTTTTGTGCATATTGAACCAGACCTGCATCCCAGGTATAAATCCCACTTGGTTGTGGTGAATAATGTTTTTAATGTATTGTTGGATCCAGTTGGCTAATATCTTGTTGAGGATTTTTACATCCATGTTCATCAGGGAAATTGGTCTATAGTTCTCCTTTTTAGTGGGTTCTCTGTCTGGTTTTGGAATCAAGGTCATGCTGGCTTCATAGAAAGAGTTTGGAAGTTTTCCTTCCATTTCTATTTTTGGGAACAGCTTCAAGAGAATAGATGTTAATTCTTCCTTAAATGTTTGGTAGAATTCCCCTGGAAAGCCATCTGGCCCTGGACTCTTGTTTTTTGGCAGATTTTTCATTACTAATTTGATTTCCTTACTGGTTATGGGTCTGTTCAAATTTTCTATTTCTTCCTGTTTCAGTTTTGGTAGTACATATGTTTCTAGGAATTTGTCCATTTCTTCCAGATTACCCATTTTATTGGCATATAATTGCTAACAATATTCTCTTATTATTGTTTTTATTTCTGCTGTGTAGGTTGTGATCTCTCCTCTTTCATTTTTGATTTTATTTATTTGGGTCCTTTCCTTTTACTTTTTGATCAAACTGGCTAGGGATTTATCAATTTTGTTAATTCTTTCAAAGAACCAGCTTCTGGTTTCATTGATCTGTTCTACTGTTTTGTTTTTTGGTTTTGACAGCATTAATTTCTGCTCTAATCTTTATTATTCCCTGTCTTCTGCTGGTTTTGGGTTTTATTTGCTATTCTTTTTCAGCTCCTTAAGGCGTAAGGTTAGGTTGTGTATCTGAGATCTTTCTTCCTTCTTTAGGAAGGCCTGGATTGCTATATACTTTCCTCTTATGACCACCTTTGCTGCATCCCAGAGGTTTAGGGTTGTGGTGTTATCATGTTCATGGACTTCCATATACTTTTTAATTTCCTCTTTAACTGCTTGGTTAGCCCTTTCGTTCTTTAGTAGGATGTTCTTCAGTCTCCAAGTATTTGTTACCTTTCCAAATTTTGTCTTGTGGTTGATTTTGAGTTTCATCGCAATGTGGTCTGAAATATGCATGGTATGATCTTGATCTTTTTGTACTTACTTAGGGCTGATTTATGTCCCAGTGTATGGTCTACTCTGGAGAATGTTCCATGTGCATTGGAGCAGAATGTATATTCAGCTGCTTTAGGATGAAATGTTCTGAATATATCTGTTAAGTCCATCTGGTCCAGTGTGTCATTCAAAGCCATTGTTTTCTTATTGATTTTTGGATTAGATGATCTATCCATTGCTGTGAGTGGGGTGTCGAAGTCTCCTACTATTATGATATTACTATCAATGAGTTTCTTTCTTTTTTTTTAATGTTTATTTATTTTTGAGACAGAGAGAGACAGAGCATGAATGGGGGAGGGTCAGAGAGAGAGGGAGACACAGAATCTGAAGCAGGCTCCAGGCTCTGAGCTGTCAGCACAGAGCCTGACGTGGGGCTTGAACTCACGAACCATGAGACCATGACCTGAGCCGAAGTCGGAGGCTCAACCAACTGAGCCACCCAGGTGCCCCTCGATGAGTTTCTTTATGTTTGTGATTAATTGATTTATATGTTTGGGTTCTTCCACATTTGGCACATAAATGTTTATAATTGTTAGGTCTGCTTGGTGGATAGACCCCTTGATTATGATATAATGCCCTTCTGCATCTCTTGATACAATCTTTATTTTAAAGTCTAGATTGTCTGATATAAGTATGGTTACTCCAGCTTTCTTTTGTTGACCATTAGCATTATAGA